CTAAACTGGCAACACGACTTCTGCCAGGAGGAAGCGAAGCTCCAAAAACGTAAACGAAGTCGCAAGATAGCGGCAGCGTCCTTCAGGCCTGTATTCCTCCCTCCCCGCCATGAGTTCGCCCCGCCGTTAGCCTACTTCCTACATCTCACACGGACCCATGGGCCGGTAATGTAACCGCCGAGAAACGGCCTTTGCCAAACGCAGCGCCGCAAATGCATCCAAGTTTGTCAACAATGCAACGCTCATCTTGCAGAATTTCACCTGTCTCCCCTCCGCGGCTGCAATGACATGAGGGCAAAACAGAGCTTGGAAATGTAGGACAGCATATTGCGGCACGCAATTTCCGCACTGTTTTGCCGTACACCAGCTTTCTCGTACACATCCACTTTTACGGCATTTTTGCATAGCCCCAAGGGAATTGACAAGGCACGCGCGCACGGAAGGTGCTCCCTAATGCAAATAAAGTACGGACCGGAGCGCCGTTCAACAGGCAAAAATCTACCCAACTTTGAAAAAAACATTTTGGCAGCTGCTGAGACATAACACGGATATTAATTATTCCAACAAACAATTCGTACTGGGGTCCCAGAAGTACCCACGCACACCTAAGGCCATAGTCACTGATGTTATACGGCATACTTGTTGCTTTCCCGTACATGTACGGGATGTACGGCAGGACCACGTGAGGCGATTGCCAAAATCTCACATCTCTCATGGAGCCCCCGCGGCCCTCCCAAGAGTCGCACCAACACCCCCGCACAGCCGTAGAAGCGATGACTAGGAAAAGCAACGCATCTTCCACACCCGAAAACCACATCACACTCTCGCTCGACCTTGTCACCTAGGACCAGGCGCTCTTTTACCAACGCAAATATGTGTTATATATCTCGGGCAACAGTGTCGCGGCACTTGCAAGGTGCACAGCCCTTAAGCCTGCTGCTACTGCTGCTGCTAATACAGCGCTGCAGTGCAACCTCCAAACTCAGGTTACCGCCGTACAGAGCAGCAACAGCAGTAGCAGCAAGCCGCAACACCAGCAATAGCAACAGCAGTAGCAGCAACAACATCAGCACTAGTAGCAGCCGTAGCATCTGCAGTAGCAGCGCTCTCGTCCCGTGTGGGACCCCCGTAAAGCCTCCAACCACAAACCGCATTATGGGGGACAGATCCCCCAATAGCGCGCCATGTCGCGACGCGTCATCGTTGTAGCCCGAGCACCACCCCAATAACATAACCCACCACTAAAACCCAACACTACACGCAATGCTCGCGGCCCGTGTCGCTGCCGCGGTCGCCGCTGAAGCTCGGTTTCCGTACGCGTGCTGAACCCCCCCGGTGCACGTAGGAAGTTTCTTACCATAAAATAGCGGGAGAGGAAACTCACCTAGCTGCCAAGAGAGGCAAAAACGCATAGCGAAGGCCGGTACGGCATCTCCTACGTATATGTGCGTGAAACCCTTCAGAGCACCCTTCAGAGGAGTTGCCAGAATCCGCAGATTCTTAGAACCCACTCCTGTCGACGCCCGCCTAAGCCTCCCCCCTCGTACACAGATACACGCAGAGACCTCGATGCTGTTTCCTTTATAAAAAACCCGTTAATTAACAAACGTTCTTCACTACATATGTACGGCAGATCGCTGTACATCTCTGTCGACGATGAGATCCAAGCACACATCCTAAATGTACCCCGCCGTACATTCCAGACCTTACACGCGCGCAGGCCACATGTACGGCATTACGACACCCCGCATGTCGCAATGGATAGGAAAGGAAACACGCCCGCGCGGCACATGCGGCATCATCGCCGCGGACCAGGTTGCACAGACTTGGCTGTCGCCAGAGCTACGGCGACATACAGACAACCACAGGCGTGCGCACGCACATGCTTATATACCCCAACCCGCGTGACCCCATTCCTCTATCGCAACATGCGCGTCGTTTCGACCCGCCGCGGTACCCCTTTCTCCGCCTGAAGTCGAAAGTCTTTTCCTTTCCCAAAAAGTTTAAAAAAGAGATAATCTGTTTTCATGAATGGGCTTACATCGGCATCAAGACCCCATCCAATATTAACGCAAAGTTCGGCGCCTATATATTAGACTGACAGACAACAGATACATAGGTAGATAGACAGACAGACAGATTGACAGACAGACAGATTGACATGCCCAAAGACTTCAGCAGATGAAATCGGCCTCCTCCATCCCCTTCCCCCGCCACAAGGGGTACGGCAACCTGGGAAAGCAGATGATAAAGAACGTTCCGAATCTCGACCTTCCAACAGCTCCGGAACCACACCCAAGCAAGGTTGTGGAACAGAATCCCACACTAAAAAAAGCTATATGCTCCATTCTCTAATACCGATATTCGTACCTTCATACCTTAACCGCCGCAACTGTCAAACGACCCAAGCCACCCATCGAAGCACGCTTAGAAAAATAGCCGCCCCAAACCCCCAGTGCCGCTTCTTCTGCAGTGCATTCTTGTACTGCAGTACTACAAGGTGCTACCAAAAACGTCCGTACACAGCAACGAGCTGCTATGCTGTACACACACCTAAGCAGATGCGATTCTGCGCATGCGCATATATATGTGTGTAACGCATTTCTGTGTCCCAACGTGCGCGGATGGCAGGAGGAGTCTAGGCGCATGGATCCCTAGCTAACCCCTTCAATGATCACAACTACCGCCACCACCAACTGCGCTCTGAAGAAACTTATGCGGGATCCCAGACGTAAACGTGCAACAAATATGACACCTCGCATGCCGAGGTTCATCCTCCATCCGTTCTTTCGGAAACGGTTTGTCGGGAAACAAGTACGGCCTTGTACGGCCGGTACGGCACAACGCGCGCGGCTCATCTTTCAAAACCGCCAAGTATACTTGTTTAGGGCACCCCAAAACAAGTGAAAAGTACGGCAGTAGGGATGTCAATTTTGCTGACACCTTCCCGACAGAGGATTGCACATTTCCTCAACGACCGATGTGCGGCCAACTATCTAAAGACAACTACCACAACCGCCATGCAACTACCATAACTGCCTTCCGTATTTTGTTCCTCTTGAGCAGGACCTTGTTCCTCCAGACCGATCCCTCCCAACAGTTTTCGCCAACAGGGCCCCAGATTATCCCAACCAACTAACCAACCAACCAACCAATAACCGCATACAGCAGCAGCGTACGGACGTTCCAAATGTAATCACAATCACTACGGCTCGCCGCAGGGCGATTCTCCGTACAACAAATGTACTGCCTGCAGTACAAAACGCTGTCCGGTCCCACCTCTTGAGGCAGCAGCTCTTAGACGAACATGCACATATCAACCCACGCGCGTACACATTTTTCCGTCCTTGTTGCTTTTTCCGTCGTATTTGCTGTCCATCCGTACAACCGTACGACATGACCGCTTGCTTGCACTATATAAAAGTAATTGCCAGCCAACTAACCTAGCTAGCTAGGAAAGGCTCAAGGGAAGCCCTCAAGGTCCCACCTCCAGAACAGGCAACAAAAAAGCGGTGGCGACACGCGATAAGAGAACTTGAGGGCACATGCAGGCAGCCGTACGACAACCGTACGACAAGACATATAGGTTCCCTGATTCTCAATACGAATCTTCTATCTACTACCGGCCTCAGCTCATCAATATACCCACACCCACCCACACCCACACCTATGCATACATACATACATACATTTTCATCCGCACCTAGACTAGCTAGGCTAGGACAAGCTCGCATAAGCACACATCATCATACGCAGACACGCACGCGCATAACCACAAAGTTACGTACATATATACATACATACATACATACACACATTCATTATACGCAAATGCATAATCCTAATCTTTTGCATCCGCAAGCGACGGGACATGTTTGCGTATGTATGCGTGTGCGTGTGCGGAGCAACAGCAGCGATTTTCCTTTTTATGTACGCCAATGGAGATGTACGCCGTTAGGTACACATAACACAACCGCTGAGGCAACAGGCACCGCACCGCACGCACCGCACGCACGCATAGATATCCGAAAAGATAAATGCACATAGGTACACACAGGGTAGCCGTACCCACCCGTACAAGTGTACGACATGTCGATACACAGGACAGCAATAGTGCACACCAGACTAAAATAAAAAGCGCTTCAGATTTGTAACACAGATGCATATGTATGTATAGAAAACCCGAAAGACCTGCAAAACCCTAAAACCTCCTACCAGGCTTCAGGACACAATAACGCTCCCGTGTCGTACAAGCCCAACCGCATCCCCGCGATAAACAAACGCAAGATCCCTGTGGCGGTGTACGACACCTTACCATCCAAAAGCGCTAAATCCTCTAAAACAACATATTACGGAGCGTTCGAGGATGGTCCTATATGCTGGGAGACCAGCAACCGAAACTATCAACGACCAACGGTCTTTCTCGTAATTCCCTGTTCCAAAACCATAGCTACGGCCGTTACGTCTTTCAATTTGTACTTGGGGCGTGAGAAGAGCCCATCAACGCCTGATTTCATCTCGCCTGACACGCACCATCTGTCCTTGTCTGCTGCTCTCCTCCTGGCCCAACTTAAACTCCTGTAGAGGCTTATGGCCGCCATTCAATTCAATTTTAACGCCATAAAAACTCCTAAAACCGTGAAAACTGCTAAAACCGTAACCGCCCCGGTAATGACGGTGCCTGTGCTGCAGGCGCCAACCCCATCCCCCAGCAGACGCCGGCCAAAAGAACCCCTTCCATGCACCTATTTCCACTTTCATCTTCACCCAAGGACCTCAGACGGTCGGACCATCACATGGCCGCATCATCGCTGAGTGCAACGGAGCCCCTCCCAGATTAGAGCCACGCTCGTCCATGGTCGTTGCGACCAACTCCCAACTGCCTCCACGTCATGCCGCCCGTTTTCGTCCGTGCCTCCCTACCTTCTTATCTACCAGAACGTGTTCTGAATATTATGAAGATACACAAAGGGGAATCCGTTGCCGCCGCTGAGGTTTATTTATATTTGCCGCGGCAGGCGCAACCCTAGGCCCGACGTCGCCGCCGCCGCCGCCGCTGCTGCCGCCGCCGTCGCGGCGGAGCATCGCAGGTGCTGCATCATCCGCAGCGCCGCGTGCGCCGCCAGCCAGGGGATGGCCTCGCATAGCGCGGACCAGAGCTCCGGTAGGTGCCGTACAGATTGAGCCGCCACCAGCACTTGGCCGTCGCTCAGCGGTCGTGACAACCAAAGCCTGGTGGTGACGGGAACAGTGGAGAGTAGGACAGTGCATCAGAGATTTATATTTTGAGAGTTTCAGGAAAGACAGAAAATTACGGGCAGATCCTAAAGTTTGAGAATCTTTTTTTTAAATTGGATCCTGGGATGTCTGCCATATGTAAATTTGGAATTTGAAATATGAATCCTGGAAAAACTTGAATTCCACGGCCATAACAATACGCGCACGCGCGCGCACACCTGTCCCTCCCAGCCACCGCCCAAAGCTCCGCTCGATGCGCCGCGAAATGTACTCCACCGAGTACAGCCAACAATTCCGGTCGGTCTGCCCAGAGCTCCACAGACTGTAGCACCGCTCGGAGCTCGGTCACGTGAATCCATAGCTGGGCTACAGCCGCTGCTTCAGCGGAGCTGTAGCCGATTGACGGCAGCGGCCCCGAGGCCGCTGCCACGGCCACGGCGGCGGCGGGCGGCGGCGGCGGCAGCGGGGGCAGCAGCGTGAAGATGGCGTTGAGGAGTACGGCAGTGTCCAGTAGGGGCGCGATGGCGGCGCCCGAGGCAAGCTCCAGGGGACGAACCTGATTAGGCAAAACGGGAAGTTTTTTCTGAAAAATTTCCAAGCTTTAACGTCACATCAACTTTATTATAGTTTTTTTTGAAGTACGAACCGGTTCAGCTAAAATGGCAACGTTTGGTTCTCTAGAGGTTGAGGATGTGGGAAATAAGTTGGCTCTAAATGCTAAGAGGAATAAAGCAGAAAACGATTTTTGGTTTCGGTGCCAGAAGCGAAACTCCGTGCCGCGTCGCGTCAATATACCCGGCGACGACAGGCGACATGGGCGACACTCGCAAGCACATTCCAAACAACCCTTTCCAGTAAAACGCGTGGCTCGCTGCTGTACGACATGCCTGCTCGTCCACCAGCCCACCTGTTCGCAACCATGCACCACCTTCGCTACCCCGGGGTCCTCCAGAAGTCCCCGGAGACTGGTCAATAGCACTCCCCCAATCGCCTCCGGTCCATCGCCGGTGCAGTTTGCCGTACAGTCCAAGACGTACACCGCCGCTGGCCATGCCTCCGTGGCCGCGGCACCGCTTGCGGCGCTACCGCCGCCGCCAGCTCCGCTGTCACTGCCTCCACTGGCGGCGGCGGCGGCAGTGGCGGCGCTGCCGCCACTAATTGACAATGCCGGCGGCGCATACAACGAAACCAACGCCGGACGACCGTCGTAACCATGTACGGCAATGCCGATCTGCGCGCAGGCGTGGCAGTGTTGCAGTATGGCGAGGAAGTCCGGGCAGTACGGATCTGAGACGACGTGGATGGGCGTGTTGGGCGGTGCCGCCGCCGCCGCCACCGCCGCCACAGACGCGACAGCACCGCCGCTGCCGTTACCGTTCCCTGCTGCTGCGGCGTGCTGCTGTTGCTGCTGCCGCAGAGCCTGCTCCGCCATCAGCGCAGAGGCAGCGAAGTCTTGTATCCTTTGCACGCCCGCAGATCGACCCGCCGCCACCGCCGCTGCCGCTACCGCCATCTGCTGATGCTGTTGCTGGAACTGAAGTTGCTGGCTAGGCTGCTGGGAGACGCTACTGCCGACGGCGGTGACGGCGGCGGCGGCAGCACCGCCGCCGCATCCAGCTCCATGCCAGGATAACGGTACGGAATCCAACGACAAATTACCCGCGCTTAAGCCGTCACGTCCACCGATGCTGCCGACGGAGCTTAGAGACGGCAGCGGCGTAGACCCATTGAGCGACATCCGCTCGTCGTACACTCGTGAATGTACGGCACTGCCACTGCCGCCGCCGTTGGCGGAACCCAAGCTATTTTGATGCCTGAGCGTCGGCTTCTGCTGCAGTTGCTGCTGTTGTGCCGCCTGCTGCTGCTGTTGATGCTGTTGTTGCTGTTGTAGCAGTAGCAGCTGCTGCTGTTGCGTCGACTGTTGAGAGTGTTGTTGTTGTTGTTGTTGCTGTTGCGGCTGCTGCTGCCAGCCAAGGGCCCATCCTAGTGCTCCCTGACGGGTTAGTTCCGAAGGCATGTTGCCATCAGGCCCTTCCCCCCCCGCCGGCAGACCCACCGGACGGTACTGACCCAAAGCTTGCTGCTGCTGCTGCTGCTGCTGAAGTTGCTGTTGCTGCGGCTGTAGCATATCAACATCCCGTTGAAGCGCCTGCTGCTGCTGCCCATGCGATTGCAACAGCCGTTGCGCCAAACTCGGGAGACGCAGCTGGAGATGAGTCATTGTGGACTGTTGTTGCTGCTGCTGCTGCTGCGACATGGAGACGTTTTGCTGCTGCTGCTGCTGAAAGGCTACAGCCGCCGCCCCAGCTCGAGATGCCGCCGCCGTCGCCGTCGCCGCCGCTGCCACTACCTGGCTTTGCTGCTGCTGCTGTTGTTGTTGTTGCTGCTGCTGCAACTGTAACTGCTGCAGCTGAGCAGCGAGGACGCTACTGCTGCCGCCGCCACCATGCGCCATCTGCAGCGAGTATTGTACGGCATGCTGTTGTAAGACGGCGGCGGCAGTGGCCGCGCTGGGTTGAGCCGGGTAGATCTGCTGAGCCACCTGCGATAGGTTGTATTGGCCCAGCTCTTGCTGCTGGTGCTGGTGCGGCTGCGACAGCAGTGGTTGTGGTAGCAAGTGGTATTGTGGTAGGTGTTGCGAAGATAAATGAAGCTTGCGTTCGGCTTGTTCATGCGCCAATTGAAGCAGTCTCGGACACACCAAGCGTACGACATGTACGGTAGGGCTCTTTGGGGATGGGAGGACGAGCGCCCCAAGGATGGGGAAGGCGCAGCGCCACAACGGCAAGAGAGGGCATTAGTTAATGTGTCGGGTGTTCGGGTGAGAGCTTCAATATTTATTATTATTTTAAGTTTTATTAAATATATGATTTCAACTGGTACTAAATGATTACAATAGCAGCTGTCACGATCATGAAGCAAACGCACCTAGCGGTTGAGGGTTGTCGCCGGAAAAAGAAGGAAAGGAGAAAACTGGCGGAACGCACCTTAATACTACATATATGTAATATAAAATATAATATTACACATTCTATTTGAATATAAATTGTACTTAATATATTTTTTGTAAAGAACTAAATAATATTCTACTACTATATAAAATATATTCTTTTAACTAAAACTACACATTGACAATATTGAGACCATCTCTCTCTCAATAATATATACGTATATATTATACATTTGTTATATACAATACATATATAATACATCGTTAACTTCCTCGGCACAAGAGAGAGAAAGTGCGGGACGAAGCGACCGCCGCGCACCTGGGATTGGACAGAGAACACATCAGGCTCCTCCAAGCACACCAATCGCAGATTCCGTCCGATACGCGCACCGCCAAGCAGCTTCGGCACCTGCGCGCCCAGCTTCGCAAACGTCAGCTGGTGTGGCGGCGGCGCCCACGCCAGCAGCCGCGCGATACAGCGCTTCGCGGCCGCAATCGTTGCCGCTTCGCTGCCTGCTGGCGCACCCGGCGGCGGCGGAAAGCGTCGCATCAGCTCCTGCTCCAAGGGAGGGCTGCCCACATCGGGTACGGCAGCGGCGGCGACGGCAGCGGCTGCGGCGGCTCCACCGCCGCCGCCTGGCGGCGGCTGCGGCGACAGCAGCGCGGATGATGACGGAGGTAGGCCGGAGGAAGTCGCAGCGGGGGCGGAAAAGGTAGGCATAAGGCCCGCGAGGGACAGACCTGCGAGGCCGCCATTGCCGCCGTAGCTGGAGATGTCGGCGGAAGCGACGGAGGCGGTGTCGTCAGCAGTAGCAACCGCCGCCTCGAGAGAGACCTGAAGGCCGCCGCTGCCGGAAATTTGAAGTCCCGCAGCAGTAGCAGGTCCTTCAGACGACGCCGTTGACGCGGCGGCAGAAGCCGTTGCCAATGACGTGGCGGCAACGACAGCGCTGGGCTCCTCTTTAGGCCAGTCCAGCAGCAGGGCCTCGAGCCGCAGCCGCATGTAGCCGTCCTGCCGTACAAAGGTAGCTGTGTCTTACTAATGATAAATCCGTACGAAAACATGTATATTAGCGGCACATATCTAAATTTTACATGCAAGGTTGTCTGGAAGTTCTATACCAAATGTGTGACTTTAAACATACAACGTTGAGAGCTTTGAAAACCGACCGTTTAAGCGTTTTTTAAACGCTTTTAAGCTCAATTATGGAGGCACCATTCCATTTCCGGTCCATCGAGTGTCCCTACGATGCCCGTACGATGCCGCTCGTGCCAGCGTACGGCATTCTCGCACCTGGTCCTTCTTAAAGCTGACAATGTAGCCGCTGCCTGCGCCGGCGCCGCCGTTGCCGCCAGCAACAGCGCCGCCATCGCCGCTGCTTCGCTGGGCCCCCGCCGCCGCTCCATCACCGTCACTGGAGCTTCGTACGACACCCGCCGCAGCCACGCCGGCGCTGCTCGGTCCAGCGGAAACCGCCGCCGCGGCGGATGCGCCGCCGCTGCCCGGTCCGGCGGAGACCGCCTCCGCGACGGATGCGCCGGTGCTGCCGTCACTGACGGCGCGGCCGCTGCCAGCAGATTCTCGAGAGGCGGCGGTGCCGCCGCCGTCGCCATCGCCTCCGCCGCCTCCGCCGATGGTGTAGTTGGACCCCGTCGTCGCCGAATCGTCAAGTAACTCAGACAGCTTTCCCATGCCGGCGAGCGCATCGAAAGCTTCCTTGTCTCTCTTTCGGATCGCTGTTCCCAGAGCGCTGCCCAGCATCGTATAGGGCCCTAAAAGGAAACGGTGGGCAGGCGGGCAAAGGCGGGGTAAGACGAACCACGGACGAGTGAAGCAGATAGCAGCCAGGGGCGTCGGCAGGGCAGTATATGATGTGTGAAGCAGGGGGTTATATCTTCGCCCGTGGCAGCTACCCTGCGAGACCCTGCCTTCCCCGGTATTTCGGGGCACCCTCATCCAGTCACCCTAGTCAACTTCTCAGTGGATCGCTCAGGTTCCGCACCCACCACCAGCATCCAACGGAATCTGCCGGGTCGACAGCGGCCCAACTCCATTCCTGGTCGGCTCGCAGGTTAACTTTATGGCAATGGTCGCGCGTTACCAGTAGTGCCAAACCCTATGTCTAGAAGGGCCTAGATGGGATAAAAAGGAGATCCTATGAGATCCCTTCATCAGGTCTCCCCATCGAATCCAAGTCGGGGCAATGAAAAAGGTGTGAAGTCAAGGTGGAAACAGTCTAAGGACCAGAGGAGCTTTCGGCGCGGGACTGTGCTGGACTGTGGAGTGGTTTTTCAGATGACAACGGATCGGGGAACGATTAATGACAGAGCGTCATAACTTGTGCTTTTGCACGGGACATGCGTTGGAGATACGGCAGGCGAACTTATACCTTGGCCTAATGCCGTACGTGCCGTATTCCAATTACCCTCATTGAACACCCGTGGTCGCGCAACACGACACGACACGCGTGCCACCTGCCACCGGCCTCACCTGCGGGACCCCGTACGGCAAACGCTAGGGTGAAGGCGGCCGCCCGCCGGATGCGCTCCAGGGGCGCCTGACCAGGCCACGCCGCTGTGATGGCGGCGGCCAGGCCGGCGGCGGCGGCACGCCGCAATGCTGCCAGATCCAAGGCCGCGAGGGCACACCCCACCCCCGGCCCGGGCAAGTGAATGTCCAGAAAGACCCCTCGGGAATCGGGATGCATCATAAAGGACCTTAGCTTGGGCAACCTGTACGGCACATACGGCATGTACGGCACATCGATAAGAATGCCGGAAGGGGACGGGCTGGAAATAGGGGGCAAACAATTAGCGGAGCCTGACCAGTATGTGCAGGTAGCTTTGCATCGTAGATCATGGCGTTACGCCTTATCAAAAGGCAGGGTTGTTGGAAGGAGACGTTGCGAGAAGTCGAGGTCGGTATAAGATAAAACTGGTTGCGCGGATGCAGTGCCATATCACCTAAAAATACATTGTTATGAAAGAAGGCCTAAACCTCTATAATGAAAAAGGCTAGTGCAGCAACGGTAAGTCGGAAACTTTGGTCGTCCGAAACTCTACCCGAACCGAGGATCAAGAGCAAACTAGTGTATCATATCGACCTTTCCGTTGTAAAGTAGCAAATTTCTCAAGTGATGCCTTTGCCGCGGCTAAATTGTTTATACATGTATCAAGTTTGTGTCAACGTCGATAAAAAGAAACGATTTCCAACGGTAACAGACCATAAAGATAAGTCACCGAACGCCTTATTTTCTACTGTACATAAAACCCATAAAAATATGCACCTGTATGATACAGTTTTCCCCAAAGATTTCGGCACGGCTCTCCAATCTCAGGGCGTTTCCCTAACATACATCTTTCCGTGTCAACCACACGGAGGCAACCTGCAAGCAAAAGATATGAGATTAACCCCTTGTGAAGAACATCCCGAGCTCACGCACTTGCTGGCGGGCTTGAGCGCCTGCATGCTCTCAGCGAAGGCTGCCAAATGCGACCACGGTTGACAGCGCCGCGGGAGGCCGGAAAGGTGCACCACAATCGCGCGCCGCAGCTGTGCCGCTGCCGACGGTCCCGGGAACGCCCGAAGCGCGAGCTCGGATAAACCCTCCTCTGCGCTTGGAGGCAGTGCCGCCGATGGCAAAACGCTTACGCCGCTTGCTGTAAGCAGTCCAGCGCCTGCAGCTGTGGACGGGCCGCCACCGCCGCCAACACCGCTGGTCATCGAGAGCCCGAGCTCAATGGCCGCCGCCGCCAAGTCACTAGCAGAGCGCTCCATGGGCGGTGGTCGGGCGCTAGGCACCGGCAGGGAAGCGGAGCTGGGCAGGCCGGGGGCAGCCGCTGCGGTGGCGGTGCCAAGGTCGAAGCTCCTGCTGCCGAGTCCGCCGGTGCTAAGGGATGTCTGCAAAAGCATTGCCGGTGCGGGTTGTGCAGCGGAGGTTGTCCCCACAGTCCCCGATGTCGTGACCTGCAGCCCACCAGGCTGGTGATGTCCATGCGTCCGCATCAGGCCCGAAAAGTCCAGTACGACAACGATGTCATATTTTCCCTTGACGACGCGTAGGAAGCCGGCGACTCCATCGACGCCGGGCCCGGTGGTGATGGTTGCGGCGGCGCCGTTTCCATCTCCAGGCGGCGGCTGTCCCGTCAGGCCGGGCTGCAGCAATGACCCGTGGGTCAGCGGCAAGCTTTGCTGCGACAGCGCATCGGTTGGGCTGCCTTCGTGCAGAAGCTGCTTGACGCGAAGGGTTTTGGTGACTGGATGCCGGAGCTCCGCCACCGCGTCGGCTTCATGGCGGTGCAGGATGTCGCCAAGCGCCGACTTCATGGACGTGTACGGCAGAAGTGGCGAGGGACAAAGATCGGAGCACACGGCCTTAAAAACATGCGCATGTAATCGCAAGATTGGGAGAGAAAGCTGTACCGGATCCAGTTAGGAAGCCAAAGCTGGAAAGCTGGAAGTGCAAAATCACAAAGAAAAACAAGTTAAGTTAAACGAGAACATTGGCAAAAGCATTGATCTGAATTATGTGACTGGAGGCAAAGCGTCTTGCACATTGGTTTCGACAAATTACTAGGGAAAACAACAAGCAGGGACTTACAGCAAGCATAGAATATGGCCCCTCTGGCCCGTCCGCGGCTGCAGCCAGCGCCAGCGCTGCGCGCCGCTTAAGTCTTGCCAGGGCGCTGCTACCCGGCCATGCCGCGACGACGGCGTTGAGGACGGTTTGCGACAGCGCATTTGCATGCAGGTCAACAGCATCGCGGTCATCAGGTCCCAGACTGAAAACTGTCCGCAGCTGTCCGTTGGCACTGCAGCCCGTTAAAGCTGTATTACCATTATTTATATACGATGTCGCCCCTGTGATGAGATTTCCGCTGCCGTTAATGTAATTCACCGCCAGGCTATTCGAGACATTTAAGCCGGCACCAGTATATTGCGCTGCTGGCGTGGTCCCGATACAAGATGCCGGACTAAATCGCCATGACGATGACAACAAATGCAGTTGCTCTAGGTCGCTGATTAAGCTGGTCGCGTTTGTAGCCGCGCGCCGGAGTGCCAGCTCGTCCATCGCAAGCACTTCTAGGTCCATCTCGGTCCTGACCGAAAATACCTCGCGGCTCTCAGGACTTAAGAGCATCATCTTCAAATGAGCCAGCGGCGTGGCCGAGTTAAGCAAAATCGGCGACAATGATGGCTCTCTCTGGACAAGGTGGACGACATCGGCGAGAGGAGCTCTCCGGGCACCTAGAGTAGGATATGGATTTTCGGCCAGCCAAGATGCTACCATCCTCCGTAATCGAGAGAGGGGCTCATCGGGGTCACGCCAGACAGTCGTAATAAGTGGCTGCAGCAACAACGGACTCCCAAGGCCGCCGGTGATGCAGGTGTTGTGCAACACATAAGGATCAGATGCATGTCCAGCAGCTGCGGTCATTGGCGGCCCGACGGCTCTGGCCGACGTGCTCGACATTATTCCGTCACGCAGGGAAGAAAGTGAGCACGTCCAGCCACCTTGCGCAGTTTGTTCTTAATCATCGTTGATACATTGTCATTCTATTCTGGAGCGCCATCGATGCTGTCTTGATTAAGCGCTCACTAAGAGCAGCTGCGGTATTGCTTAAACGTCATCGCGTGATCCGTACTCACTACTAACTTATTGTGGGGAAGGCCATTGCGTCTGCGACCACACTCCCGCGGTACCCAAACCCTTCAAAGACAATTCCGATCAGCCATTTGGCTGTTAGTGGGAGGGCGGGTGGGCCGCTCGCACGGCAATCGAGTAGAGAGTACGAAAATAACCTAATGCAGTCATCGACAGCAGAAAACGTAAGCCTCCAGCCTCATGCCGACTCTCTTACCTACCATTCATATTCTCTACCTCGTTCCCAAGACTCCGCCGCGTTGCCTCTAGTTCGGCTCGTGCCACAGGTAACTTCGCTCGTCGCTACTTTGCCATTCACCTTCGCCTCCACCCAGCCTCTGCTTCTCCACAGAAGCGGCGACCTCCTTCGCCGTTGTTACGCCTCGTCTATGCGAATCCTCCTCATCCGACTGTGTCTTCTGCCTACCCGGTGCGCGCCCCCTCTCTCTGCGCATCCTTTTCTCTGGCCCTCTCTTACGGTTGCCTACCTTACTGCAGGACTCGCCCCTTGCCTGTCCGGTGCCGGGCAGGCTTTCCTTGCCTTCCCCGGCCCTACTTGGGGCGCCCCTCCTCGGCTCGTCAACTACCTTACTTCCGTCCGTTCCTGCCCCTCGGGGGCCCAACCCCTCCGNCCTTTCCGTGGGCCCG